CATTTGGGACATATTCCTCTGTCTCCTCATTCTGTCTATTGCTGTGTCTGTTTCTGTGTGTTAGGAAAGTCAGCTACGTCTCCTGCACTTGAAAGTAGTGGCTTTATGAAGAAGAGGTCCTGCAGCGTAATGTCTCTTTTTCACTAGAAAATGTGCTTCAGGGGGTGTCTCCTATGTGTGTTGCTACAGGGGTGTCCTACCATTGTGGCTGGGATGTGTTTGCCTTCAGTCCAGCCTGTGATGGCACTCTGCCTGTTGTGGGCAGAGTCTGGTGCCTGTGGTGTTAGTGGGCTGGTCCTGCGCTGCCTTGGGCTTGAGTTGAATCAAACCAGGTGTTCGCCAGAGATGAAGTAGCACCAAACTGCAGGCACTTTCCCTGTATTGTCCCCTGAAAAGCTTTTGTTGATGGGTGGGGCCTGTAGTCAGACCAGCTGCCTGCCCCCAGCCCACTGCTGGGGTCACTGTCAGACTTCCCCTCTCCCTGGAGCAGGACTCACTTTGGAGTAGTGCTGACCCTTGTCTGGGCTGTGTGCACACTACTGGGCTTGTGGCACTGCTTTGATGGGATCTTGTGAAGAATGATCGGAGTGGGTGGATCTGCTTCTCTGTGGCCTCTTGTCTATGCCAGGCTGTGGAGAGTCTGTTCTGCCAGTTTTCAGGCTGCTTTCTGGGTTATTTATGACGATGTGGGTGGTCTGTAGGCAGCCACATGGCAAGGCATGAGCCCAAGGCCCTCCTACTCCGCCATCTTCCCAGCAGCCTCAGACAATGGGATTCTTGAATATGTCAGAGGTAATGTAGTTTTTGATGATGATGTCAAAAGAATGACCCTGGGGCGCCTGGGTGGCTCAGTCATTAAGCGTCTGCCTTCTTCTAAGGTCATGATTCCAGGGTCCTGGGATCAAGCCCTGCATCGGGCTCCCTGCTTGGCGGGAAGACTGCTTCTCCCTCTCCCACTCCCCCTGCTTGTGTTCCCTCTCTCGCTGTGTCTCTCTCTGTCAAATAAACAAATAAAATCTTTAAAAAAAAAAAAAAAGTATGACCCTGAAATTGGGTGGCTGAGATCAGGTGGAGCGAAAGATTATTCTACATGAGGGAGTCAGAGAACTGGGAGACCAGCGTATGGGATTTGTCATCTGTGTGGATGTTGAAGTCACTTAGAGTGGGGCCCACAGGAGGGTTAGAAGGCAAGAGGGGGATCCAGGTGAGAGAATGAATGTGTATTTCCCCCATGAAGATACTCTTGGTCTTTGATTAGACTTGGTAGTATTCTAGAGTCTTTGGCAGATTATATTTTCATTATTATTATTGGGAAACTACTTGGCAACTCAACCACAAAACCTCTTAGGGGGCTTTCTTTTTAGAGATGGCCTGTTGCTGATTTCAGATCATTCCAATTCTGACTTTATTCCCCTAAGAGACCCCCAGTTCTCCTGCATATTAAAAATTCTCAATAATACTTTCAGATCATTCCAATTCTGACTTTATGTCCCCTGAGAGACCCCCAGTTCTCCTGCATATTAAAAATACTCAATGAATCCTAAAATCTTCTCTAAGCTAGTTAATAAAACCTGCCACCTGAATGTGTATATGTGTTTAATATGTAATGTTTATAGTAGGTATGAATCTACTTTTATCTCTTTTTATATAAATGAAAATAAAACATGTTTATCCCTTTAGCCTTTGTATATGTTTATATGATGTGCTACATTTTAATGATTTGTTTCTGCTGGCTGGGCATCTGCAGTGGGTTCTGCAGACAACAATTTTATCTCTGTAAACTTGTATGGAGCATTTGGGCTCCTGCCTGTCTAATCTTATACAGACATCATTAAAAAAACCCGCAAGTCCATGGCCACCCTCCGACCTCCTAGAGACAGGTACTACATTGCTGACTTCAGGGTGGTCCTTGGAAATGATGTTTTGTTTTGGACCAGGAATATTTTTAAGGGTGTGAAAACATTTGCATTGTGAGCATCAAGTGAAATCTTGATAATACAGCTCTGTAAAATATTGATGCAAATTTCCTATGTTCAGATTGGCAGAATGTGAAAGGCTCAAGGCTGTTGTGTCGTTTTTAAAGTCACCACGTTTGCCACGTGAGGTTTGCCTTTTTTTTTCTTCACTCCCCCCAAATTCCTTCAGTCATGCTTGCTTGCTTGCTTTCAGTACTGCCAAATCAGAGAAGATTTCACAATGCTGCAAAAAGCAATAATTTGGATCTTATGGAGAAGCTGTTTGAAAAGACGGTTAACATTAATGCTGTGAACAATGTGAGTAGAAGTCACAGATGTGACAAGTGAGTACTCTAAGGGTGGTTTGGATTTACACAGTCCAACTGAAATAATAATAAAAATAAAAATGATTGTGCTGGATGAGGTGAGGGAGAGCTCTGTTGTTGGTAATTCCAGAATGTGTAAGCTAAAGGTGGAATCAAGCAGAGGAATATATAATCTTATCAGAGGGGAAATATATAGTCACTATGTGCATCTGTGCAAAGTCTGTGGGTAGGCAGTAAAGCCAGTTGTCAAGGTTATGGGCCTGGACTTGATCCTGGATTGCAGCCTTTGGATCACTGGCCTCACACATTCTGGAAAGGCAGAACATCTTTTGCTTCACAGTTTCGTCACTGCTTTCTCTCCAGGGATGTCCTTTGTTGTTCGGCCTTCCAAATTTAAAATCCAAAGGAGCATGGGTTTGTATTTTATCGCTTTTGAAATATAGTGCCTTTGCATGTCGGACACTGGGGCCTTTTCTAAAGCCTGGCTCTTACTTTATTGTTCTTCAAGTGCCTGGGTTTAGGAGAGAAGTCTACTGCTAGAAATACGAATTTCCTACTGCTTGGTTTTGTAGAGATTTCTTGACAGCTTTTCGGGGCAAGGTTTATCAAAGTAGACAGGTTTAGGGCTGTGTTAATTGCTTAAGACAATCTGTGCAGTGGATCAAAGAGGAGATAACAGAGGTGGATTTAATGCTAAATGAAGCAGAAGCTTTAGTGTTCCTACTTGTACAGACCCCTTCCAAGGCATGGGGGAGGGCTCTAGCAATGTATTCTCATGCTTATATGGTTTTGTAAAATCTAAAAAAGTAAGAAACTTTAATTGCCATCAGTTCAGCTTTTTGACTCTGGCTTTAAAGAGGGCTCTCTAGAGTGTAGACTACGTTTCACAACACGTAAATCTGTCCCAGACAGTGACGTCATATGAATTGAAGTCATGCATCATATACAGTGGAAAGATGTTTACCGGTTGTGCATATGTATATGGAAATTTATGTGTCTGTGTGTATATTGTATGCATGTGTATGTCTGATGTGTTATGGTTATATATAGTATTCATTGTCCATAGGTATCCTAGAAAGAGTAGAAAAATAACAAAGTTTTGCAGCATAACAATTTTAGGAACCAAACAAAAACAAAAAAAGGAAATGAATCAGAAAGGAAAGAATTAAAAAGAAAGAAGTGAGCAGGGGCCTTTGCAAGTAATATCTAGATAAATTGTTGAGTAAGTAAAGCAATAATCATTTTTCCAAGTAGCAGGAAATAGATTCTCTAATGTACTTTTATAATAATTTAAAAATTTTTCACATAGGACTTTCTGATATTTTTAAAAATATTTTATTTATTTGAGAGAGAAAGAGAGCACAGAGGGAGAGTGAGAGGGAGAAGCAGACCCCCCCCCCCGCCGCACTGAGCAGGGAGCCCAATGTGGGGCTCCATCCCAGGACCCTGAGATCATGACCTGAGCCAAAGGCAGACATTTAACCAACTGAGCCACCCAGGTGCTCCAAGACTTTCTGATAATTTTAAACCATATTCTTATGTTAAAGTGGTTAAAAAGATTTAATGCTAAATGAAGCATCATTTAGGAGACAATCAGGGCATTTTAACTTATGGTCACTGTGGCAAGTTACCAACTCTCGATGAACTGTATTATACTTTCTAATGACATCTCTTTTAGTCCCATTTACAGCAATTTGTTTACATGGTTACTTGTAGAGTTCCTTAAAATCTGTGATGATAGAGATGAAAAAAAATTTATAAGTGGTTTTATTGAATTATCTTGGATGCTGTTTTGGCTTGACATACCAGAACACAACTCTAAATTGCAGACAATGTCAGGATAACTCATGCCTTGTCAAACTCCAGTTTATCATCAATTTAGCTACCAAGGATATCAGATATTTAATTTTTGCAATACTTTATTCGAAACAAAGGAGGAAATCCATGTGCAGGCACCTTCTTTGGAAGCAAAAACAGTGTCTAGAATATGGGAAATATGACATGTGTTTTACTTACAAGCAAAACATCTCTTCTCTGAAACAATGAACTGTCTCTGGACATCCCAGGAGCACCTTGTTGGCTTTCCTTTGAAGCAACAGATAGTCATAGCTTTCTTTTTCTGTGTCTGCATCGTTCTTTTCTTTTCTTTTCTTTTCTTTTCTTTTCTCTTTCTTTCTTTCATTCTGAAGCAGTTTGTTTCAGTAAAATAAACAGTACAAAAAATTATAGAAGGAAGACCATATACGGGGTTGAATATCTAGGAAAGTTTTTGTTTTGCATTATCGATATATTCTAAGCAGAAAAAAATTGCTGTTATTAATAATTGCATATGGGAGAAAATACAACTTTTGCTTTTTATTTTTATTTATTTATTTTTAAAGATTTCATTTATTTGAGTGAGAGAGAAAACATGTGTGGGAAAGGGGCAGAGGGAGAGGGAGAGGGACAAGCACACCCCCTGCTGAGCACAGAGCCTGATGCAGGGCTCGGTTCCAGGACCCTGAGATCATGACCCGAGCTGAAGTCAGACGTTTAATGGACTGAGTCATCCAGGCACCCCTACAACTTTTACTTTTTTTAATTGAAATCCATTACACTGTTACAATCAATCATGGGTTATGCCATGCACATATAAACATATGATAGAAAATTATGGCCGTTTAAGACACAGGAATCATAAAGAGGCTAAATAGCAATTAGATGACTGAAAACACAAATTATGTTTCTTCAGATGAACTGCAAAGCCTTGCATTTTGCAGTGGGGGCAAATAATTTATCTGTGGTGGATTTCTTGCTTAATCACAAGGCAAGAGTGGATATTGCTGATAAGGTAAGCTCATCTTCATTTGGTAGAATGGATTGGAGCATAACCAGTGTATGGGGAAAATCTGGTCACTTCAGTTATCTTTTCTTCACATACACACAGAATATTTCCAAATTCAGTTTTCACTTTGGAAAGATCTCTTTAGGGTATATTTAGTAACTAAATTGTTTACCTATTACTTGTAGGACTTAGGCTTTTGCTTATTTTCTCATATTGACCTTATGGCCAGTAATATGCATTTGTAAGAACAAGGTTGTTGCCCATAGTATAATTTGGGACATGGGGGACAGAAGCTAACTGGCCTCACGGACATTAAATCTTGACTTTGCTGTGTGAACTCTAATAAAGCTTATTAAGTACATACTATGTACTGGGCACCGGTCTTAGGACTTTGATATTGAGTGCCCAACCTTGTCTCCCAACCTTGTGAGAAAAGTGTTACTAAAAATACAGTTTTCATAGGAAGAGCCTAAGACAGAGAAGTTGAATATCTTGCCCAATAATTACATCTAAGAAGGGGTGAAGGCAGAATTTGAACCAGGTTTACCTGGTTCCAAAGACCATGCTGTTAGCCCTAAAGCAGCTTAACTATTTGTCCGCCTTGATATCAAAACCCACCCTAAGGATTTTCTCCCTACTTTTCCCAACTTCACTTACTACTTTACCATGGCGCAAGAAAACCACTTGGGCTGGATATACCCAATATCACATTCATCATCTCCAGTTGCAATGAAAGATGATGGTCTTGATTTTTAGAATCCTATGGACTGTGGCTCCTGGTTCTTAGTTAACCAAATGGGCCATTGTTCCTGAAGTGTTCAGAAGGTTTTCACAGAGCTATTCTATTTTCTGTCTGGATTGACTCATTGGAAGATAAAACTCAGCCCGGCTTTACTTTTATTCTTCCAGGTCCTGGGTTTAGTATGTGCTTAGTAAATCTTTGGAAGATGAGTAAATGAAGTCAGATCAAACCAGTGGGTCATATTGTTGGTTTTGTTGGTATAAACATGGCCTAGACATGATAATGATGAAATTTTTTTTTGTTTTACCAGGGGAGCACATCCTTCTCTATTTTATTCCTCTGAGATTGGTAGGCAAGTCAATTGATATGTAATAGAATCAGAATGAAGAAGTACCCCTTACTAAAAATTGGCACTGAAAGCACTCCAGTTTTGTGAGGGTAATAAGTTGTATTATGGTTATTGTACTTAACATGTTGTTTGGGTCTGGAAATTCTTATTTGATTATTTTGCAATGTTAGTTAGCCTGCAAAAGATGATTTGGTAATAGACCTGATTGCCAAGAGTCTATTCTTAATTTTGACGCTGAAACCCTGATACAGTAACTTTTTAATTTTTAAATTGACCGTACAATTTTCTTTCTTTTTGGTGTACAGTTATATGAATTTTAATGTATGTGTAGATTCATGTAATCACCAGCATAATCAAAATACAGAACAATTGCATCACCCAGAAAATATCCTCATGCTGCATCTTTGTAGTCAAACGCTTACCCACCCTGGAAACCACTGATCTCTGCTCCATCTCCATAATTTTGCCTTTTTAAGAATGCCATATAAATGATGTCATGTAGCATATAACATTTTGACACTGGCTTCTTTCACTCAGCAAAATCTCTCTGAGATTCATTCATATTGTATGTATCAATAATTCCTCCCTTTTTGTTGCTGAATAGTATTTTAGTATATAGATGTGCCACAAGTTTATTTATGCACTCACCTGTTGAAGGACGTTAGAGTTGTTTCAGTTTTTGACTATTACAATTAAGCTGCTATCCCTTTCACGAAGATGGCGCCAAAGGCTAAGAAGGAAGCCCCTGCACCTCCCAAAGGTGAATCCAAAGCAAAGAATTTGAAGGCCAAGAAAGCAGTGCTGAAAGGCATGCTTGCTTCAAAAAAAGATGATCTGCACATCAACTACCTTCTGACGGCCCACGACACTGCATCTCCAAAGGAAGCCCAAATATCCTCGAAAGAGTGCCCCTAGGAGAAACAGGCTTGAACGCTATGTCATCATCAGGTTTCCCCTAACTACTGAGTCAGCCATGAAGAAAACAGAAGAGAACAACACACTTGGGTTCATTGTGGATGTTAAGGCCAACAAGCGCCAGATCAAACAGGCTGTGAAGAAGCTCTATGACATGGATGTGGCCAAGGTCAACACCTTGATCAGGCCTGATGGAGAGAAGAAGGCATATGTTCAACTGGCTCCTGACTATGATGCTTTGGATGTTGCCAATAAAATTGGGATCATCTGGGCGCCTGAGTGGCTCAGTTGGTTAAGCGACTGCCTTCGGCTCGGGTCATGATCCTGGAGTCCTGGGATCAGGTCCCGCATCGGACTCCCTGCCCAGCAGGGAGTCTGCTTCTCCCTCGGACCCTCCCCGCCTCATGCTCTCTCTCTATCTCATTCTCTCTCTCAAATAAATAAATAAAATCTTAAAAAAAAAAATTGGGATCATCTAAACTGAGTCCAGCTGGCTAAATCTAAATGTAAATTTTTATACAAACAACAACAACAAAATGAATAAAGTTGCTATCAACATTTGTGTACCAGTTTTATGTAGGCGTAAGTTTTCATTTCTCTAGTATAAAGCCCTAGGAGTGAGATTACTGGGTCATGTAGTAAGCTGTATACAAGAAGCTGCCAGACTATTTTCTGTAGTGGCTGTGCCTTGCATTCCCAGCAGCAGTGTAACAGAACTCCATTGTTCTACATCCTCATCAGCTCTTGTAGCTTTCATTTTTTTCTCCTCAATGTTTGCCTTTCTAATGGATGTGTATTGGCATTTCCTTGTGATTTTAATTTGTATTTCTTTAATGGCTAATGATATCGGCATCTTTCTTGTGTTATTTACCATTTGTATATTTTCTTTGGTGATGTGTCTATTCAAATCTTTTGAGTACTTTTTTTAATAGGGTTGTTTGTTTTCTTACTGTTTGGTTTTGAGAGGTCTTTATATATTCCAGATACAAGTCCTTTGTTAGATCTGTGATTTGCAAGTATTTTCTCACACTCTGTAGCTTATCTTTTTCACAGAGCAAAAGTTTTAAATTTTGATGAATTCCAACTTAGCTGTATTTTAAATCTTTTTAAAAAAAGATTTTATTTATTTATTTGACACACACACACAGAGAGTACAAGCAGAGGGAGGGGGAGAAGTAGGATTCCTGCTGAGCAGGAAGCCCAATGTGGGGCTCAATCCCAGGACCCTGGGATCATGACCTGAGCTGAAGGCAGCCGCTGAACAGACTGAGCTACCCAGGCACCCTCCAACTTACCTGTATTTTAAAAATGAATCTAGGTGTTGTGTTATATCTAAGAAAGACTTGCCTAACGTGTCATGAAGATTTTCTCATATTTTTCTTGTAAAATGTTTAGAGTTGTGTGTTTTACATTTAGATCTATTGTCCATTTTGAGTTATTTTAAGTATAAAGTATGAGGAATAGGTCAAGGTTCTTTTTTTTCTTGCAGAGGGATGACCAGTTTCTTCATCATTCGACACCAGTGTCACTTCAGGTTTCAGCACTTTTGCAGTGCTCTTTGGACCTGCCCCACGGGTCCAGTCTGAGACCTGGGCAGTGGTCTGCCCCATAGTTCAGCATTCCAGGCCTTTGTCATGCTGTGTAGGGTCTGGTCCATGTACGGATCGGAGTGAGGCCACACACACAACTTTATGGGCTTACTTTCTCAAGCTTCCACCTCTCCAGCCTCATCACCCCCATATTCCCCGGCTCTAGGGCCCCTCCTCCCCTTTTCCTGGTGTTCTGACTAGAAAGTCAAGGGGGTGGTCTCTGAGCTCAGCTATGTGCTTCCCATGATTAGGTCTGCCTCTGGGACTGAGGGAGAAAAATAAGCAACATGGGTCCCACCCCACCCACTCTTATGACCACAGTTCCTTTGGTCCGAGAGGATTTCTTTGTCAGTTTTAGGTGCTTGCCCACTTAGTGCTGTTGCTGTCCCTTCTACCGCAGGGTTCCAGCTTTGGGAGTGAGGCTTGCCTGGAACAGGACCAGAAGAGAATAGAGAAACAGTATTTCCCCTACTTTCTCTGTCCTGCTCCTTAGCCCAGAAAGAGAGGGCTTCTCTTGGAGTTCTTTCTGTCTGTGCCCAGAGCACACTTCTGTGACTTATACTGCCTTGAGTTCAAGCCGGAAGATATGGAAGGAAAAAAACAAAAATCAAATCAGGAAACCCTCTTTGTTTATATTTTTGAGTTTTGGTTTACTTCCCAATCTACCTGCTACCATTTACTTCTCAGAGTCCTCAAATAGCTACTCCGTGCATTTTGTCTGGAGATTTCAGTCACATCTGGTGAGAGAGACAGTGTACTTACTCCATCGTACCCAAGACCATAATCCCAAATCTTTAACATACTAAAAAGTGGAAGGAATTGTACAATGAACACTTATACATCCATTGCCCAGGTTGGTAGCATCTTTTCTTTTACACAGCATGTCTGAGGATCGCCATGTTTCTAATATATTAAATACACTACTGGTTTCTGTCAGAGTGTAAGTCAGTTATTCCTGAAATGATGAAGAGATGTTCTACCAACTTATTCTTTTTGAGGCTTTTCCAAACATACATTTGGAAGCTAGCATCAGCTTTTTTGTAATTTGGCCTTGTGAGATTGAAATGCTGTCAGATGGGAAATATGGTATTAGTACATATATATTCCAGATGTATCTCTGTACTCCACCTTGAAAGTTTCACTAAGTTTAATATTTCTATAACTTAATTATTCACAGTGGTATTAGAACATAACTAATAAATTGCTTTTTATAATTCAAGCAATGCTGTGTTTGGTCAAACTTTCTTTATCTGGGTCATGAGCCTTGAGTTTGTCTTGGCAGATCTGTCTTCTAACACCTATTTGTAAAGAGCCAAAAATTGAACCGCTTCACCATCAGTATTTATTCATTGCCTGCTCTGGGTAAGTCTCAATGCCAACTACTGGGGATTTAACAGCATTTAAGTTCTTGTTACTCAAAGTGTCGTCCTGAGACCAGAAACACTGGCATTTCCTCGGAGCTTGACATGCAGAATCCCAGAGCCTACCCCAGACCTCCTGAATCAGAATCTGTGACTTAACAAGATCCCCAGGTGATTGTGTCAGGAAGCACTGGCAGGAGATACAGTCCCTGCTCAGAGGGGTGTACAGTCTATTAAGGGAGCAAGGACCAAGACCATTGACATGATGTATCTTTCAACGCACTGCAAGCTAAGGATCAAATGCATGGCCCAGGTGCTGAGAGCTTCAGGTTCAAAGTTGGTGGCATCCCTGAATCTTGGGAACAGGCACACTAGATAAATGGAGGCTCTTACTCCAGATGTGAATCAAGGATCCTAGATGGAGAGCAGGTGGCGCTTAGAGGATAATGACAGGCATCAGCTCTCAGAGCTTCTTATCTCTGGGAAGATACTCCGTGCATGTGCTCCTCAGGGGAAGTTAATGACCTTCTCACTTGTGATCACACTGGTGATAGGGACAGAGCGTCACTGACGGTGGACCTTTTACACTTTACAGAGCATTCTGTACACTCTGAGTGTAATCCATGACACATGCTCACAAACTGTCCTAGGCATGTCAGTTTCATGTCACAAGACATAATTTTATGAATATTTTTGTGAGGGAATTAACATTTGTGAGCAGTGATTCTTTTCCTCTGAGGAATGATGGCTCCACTTGGAATATATGGCTTCAAAGTTTCCTGTTGTTGGCAGTTTGAATTCCTGGCTCTTGGATTTTATGATTAGTGTTTGAAATCTTTCAGTGTTGCCTGCTTTGAAATTAGGAATGACCTCTTAGGAAAAAATAGAGCTCCTATCAAAGTGTGATTTATCTTCTATCAAAAATATTTCTGGGGGTGCCTGGGTGGCTTAGTCGTTAAGCGTCTGCCTTCGGCTCAGGTCATGATCCCAGGGTCCTGGGATCGAGCCCCGCGTCAGGCTTCCTGCTCCGCGGGAAGCCTGCTTCTCCCTCTCCCTCTCCCACTCCCCCTGCTTGTGTTCCCTCTCTTGCTGTCTCTCTCTCTCTGTCAAATAAATAAATAAAATCTTTAAAAAAAATATTTCTGACCTCTTTTTTGACATATGTGAAACTGGATTTAGTATTCCTGAATAGAAACCATTAGTTTGTAGAGAAGAGTAATTAAGGAGTAGAATTGTATTTAGGGCACATTTCTTGAAAAACCTCAACTAGTTATTGTACATCATTAGTCCTTGGGAAAAAGTGCAGAAATTGGTGAGCATTTTCTGCGTATTGGAATTGTAAATATATAAATAGGCTTGAATAGACTAACTCACTGGGTAGTGTGGCAGCCGAAATGTAAATTTTATAGAGTATGACATTTAAAGCAGGGTTTATCAACTGTGGCCCTATGACATTTTGGTCAGATGATTTTTTGTTGTTGTTGTGGGAGGCTGTTTGGGATTATAAGATGTTTTGCAGTATCTCTGGCTTCTACCCACTGAATGCCAATATCTCCACTCAGCCCCAGCAATCAAAAGTATCTTCTGACATCTCCAAATGTCCCCTGGAGGCAAAATTGCCCCTCTCCCCCACTGAGAACAACTGAGTTAAGAGTTACATCTCAATAATCTGGGATTTCCTTTTCACTTCTTTGTATCTGTACTTCCCTGAGAAGCAGAGAATACGTGAATGCAGTTTCTGTGGTAGCCAAAGTAAATGCCAAAAGGCAAATGAAAGTGCCCCCCACAGACCCTCCTTCCTTGTTGATTTAGTCATATTGTATACATCTAGCAAACTGGTTTCATGGCTTACAAAGTCGATTAAGATGCAAATAAGATGTGCTGAGAAGGCTTACTTTTTGGAAGGATGGCATTCAGAAGGCATTTAGGAGGACTTTAACAGAGCAATGGATGATTTTTTGACAGAGATAAAAGGAAACAGAGAAGCAGACGCAGGAACTTACAGATAAGGAACCTGAGGCTGAGTGTTAACTAGAACATAGTACTTGAAGTAGGAGAGCCAAATTGGAGGTCAGTTTCCTTTGACTCTACAGATCACACTCATAAAGTGTGCTCTATATTACTTCTCTAACTTGGGGCCTAGGATGCAAGTCCCAGCTTTCCTAGTTTAGTACCTTCCAATTCCACCTTCCTGAGATAGCCAATGTTAACTGCTGGCTCTTTCCTTTCACACTTTTCTCCTGCTCATTCAGTCTACAAGTCTAACTGCCCATAGCGTCCCTAAGGGTCAGTAGGTCCTTACTGAGTCTCTGTCAGTCTATTCCATGCATGTGTGCATGCACATGCACACCTATATAATTTTTAGAGAGAGTATTTCAAATGATTTATATATAAATAGGATTCTTTTTATAACCTCAGTCTTCTCTGTTTTTTCTTTTTTGTGCACCTGCTCCTTCTCCAGTAACTACCTTTAACAATGCGGAGAATGTGTGTTTATTTCTGTACTTTTGCTCATGCTCAGTAATCATATCTATATTGGCAGCGAACATCTATCTACCTACGTGCCCACCTTAGACAGATATAGATACATATGTGTACACATGTGAGTTTTTGTCATTGCTTGTTTTATAAAAAATGGGATTATAATTTTTTGTGCATCTTATTTTTCACATTTAACAGCTACCTCGGAAATCTCTCCAAGTCAGTTTTTATAGCTCTAACTCATTATTTGTAATGGCTGCTTGATGTGATATGACTGTGCCCTAATTTGCTCAGTGTTCTTATATTGATGGACATTTACCTTGCTCTCCTTTTTAAGGGTTACAATTAATATCCTTGTTTACATAACATTAGGTTCTAAAACTCTTTTTCAGGGGATAGATTCCTAGTAGTGGGATTGCTGGTTGAATTGAAAATTTCAATAGCTATTGCCAGATTGCTGAAACCATAATTGTTCATTTCCACTAATACCTTAAGAGAGCACCTTTTTTCGGTCCACTTTTTCAATTGGTTTAATTGCCTTCTTTTTGTTGATTTGTAAGAGGTTTCTTGTATTAGAAAAAGTAACCATTTATCTTTATTAAAATACATTTTAAAAAATCTATCATTTGTTTCTTGACTTTATCATCTTTCCTTTTATAACTTGTGGATCAAGACACTGTACCTTACAGTCTAGATTTTCTTCTAATATTTTTGTGTGCTTTTGTGTGTGTGTATAATATGATATAGGATTTAATTTTATTTTCTTCCCTGTAGAGAATGACTTGTGCCTGTACCACTTATTAAATGTCTTCCTTTTCCCCATAGAATTGAAGTATCACATTTGCTGTATATTAAATTTTTTCCCTATTTGTTAATTTTCAACACTTGAGTATTATCTTGGCCTTTGTTAACTGAGGTAGTGTGTTGTAGCTCATTCCAGTGATAGACGCTTTTCTTTTCTCTTCTTGGGGAAGCACGGCTTGACAGTAATTCACCTTGCAGCCTGGTCTGGAAGTCTCGAGATCATGCTCATGCTCATTAGAGCTGGAGCAGACCAGAGGGCCAAGAATCAGGTAGGTATGTGGGTCACACCTGGACATAGTTCTCACTGCCCCAGTGCAGGATGGGGAAGTTCTCAGATCATTGTGTATATATGTCCCCCACCTTGGCTCTCTTCAGGATGGAATGGATGCCCTCCACTTTGCAGCTCAGAGCAATAATGTACGTATCGTGGAGTACCTCATTCAAGATCTGCATTTGAAGGACCTGGACCAGCCTGATGAGGTGTGTTTGCTATAGTAGGACAGGTCCTATGCATACCGCCACCAAATTCCTCTTTCTTCCTACTCCTGCTAGAGCTGCCAAAGCAGCCAGCACAGACAGACCTGGCCCTATAGCTAGCTCCTCCATCACTCTGGCAGAGGACAGAACAGATGAGAAGTGTTGGTGTTGGTGGTGGCCCAGGCATCTCATGTGGGAAGGGCAGGAAGTATTGAGCAAGCTTCCAGATTCTTTTTTCCCTCCCCCTTCCCTCACCCTGGCTGATTGTGGACAGTAGCCACCCTATTTTGTATTCAGAATGTATGCTTGCATTTTACTCCATTATGCTTGGCCTTTTGGGAGTGTATTTGATCCAAGACTATGCAGTAATGGAATCATGGAATATAATGCAGTGTTACCATATTTGTGTACATTCTTTTTCTTTTCATAAGGAGATATATACTAATAACAGTCACCACCTACTGAGTATTTATTAGTGTTGCTAGGTACAGAGGAAAGCTATTTACATACATTATTTCATTGAGATGTCTAGGGCCTGGTGTATATGGATGCTTAACAAATCATTGCTGAATGAATGAATTATCCTGTTAATTCCCATAATTCCCATAATCATATACAGAAAGATTTTGCTTATTTTTAAAGGTGATGAATTTGAGGTTCAGAGAAGCTAAGTACCTCGTCCAATGTCCCAAAACTGGAAAGTGAGAGCTAGGATTTGAATTCAGGTCTAGCTGACCCCAGTCACCATGCCGGCCTGCTGTCCTGTTTCCCTTCTCAGATGGGCATTCCCTATGTGCCAGGGACTGTCTTTTTCCTGGAATATCTTCTTCTAGGCTTTTCTCTAGGCTTTTCTCTCCCCTGTTCTCTCTAGAGGAGAATACCCTGTGAGACTGACCTTTTGATTTCAAATGGGACCTCCTTTTCACTGTGCCTAGAACATTATTCTCCATAAAGTCTCTCCAGAAATTAAGCAGTAATACCTCATTTCACCTCTTGTAAAAAACTTTCACATTCTTTTCTGACCTTAGTCTTTTTTTTTAAAGATTTTATGTATTTATTTGACAGAGAGAGAGAGAGCACAAGCAGGGGTAGCGGCAGGCAGAAGGAGAAGCAGGCTCCCCACTGAGCAAGGAGCCTGATGTGGGGCTCCATCCCGGGACCCAGAGATCATGACCTGAGCTGAAGGCAGATGCTTAACCAACTGAGCCACTCAGGTGTCCCTGACCTTAGTCTTAAAAACAACAACAACTCTTTCTTCAAATGAAGTCTGTAAATTTGTTTTACTTCCTCTGAGTATGACTGAGCAACTATACATTTACAGCTTAGAGGCAGACAGACTTGGCCTGTGGTCTGGGCATATATATTAGCTATGAGCTTTAAGCGAGTTTTCCAACTGCTGAAAGCCTCAGTGTGTATAAAGGATGATTGGGGAGGGGGGTGTTTTGGCTTCCATATAATTTTTATCAGCAATACCTCCATGGTTTCATATAGATGATTGATATTTCCCCAGTTTTATGTAAAAAGGCCTGTGCCATTGAACTTCATTGTAAGCCATTCCACCACCCCTTTCCAGTCACACACTACCCCTAAGCCGTTCCTACGTAGCAATATTGGAACAGCCACTGTTGGGATGTTTGAATGAGTTAATGAGTATAAAGCACTTAGCCAAGAGCCTGATACATGGTAAGTGCTCACTAAATGGTAGTTATTATCACAATTATTATAGGATAAAATACACTGATATCCTCTAATTGATAATCATAGTCAAATAGTGACACAGTGAGCAAGTTAGATCATTCTAGTTTGATTGATGCTAAGTAGGGATGCGACCTGTGAATGAATTCCACTCAGTTCAATTTAGCAGATCTTTGTTGAGGGCCTGTTATCTGGGAGACACTTCCCTTTCAGTGGGCTCTGGCTGATTTCACAGGAGACAGCAGGGTGTGGGGAGGATCAGGTAGGCTGAAGGGGCTCAAGGACCAGAGCAGGTTTCTGGGAAGTCTTGGCCACATCTGCAGCTTCTGCTGGCCGGCAGCCTTCTTGGCCACCGTCTCTTTAGCTGGCTCCACGGTTGGCCTGTCCCCACCCCTCTCCCTCCTCCCCTGTGTGTTGGGAAAAATGCGGAGGAGTCTTGGCAGCAGACTCTGCAGACATGTCCAGCTGAGAGATGTTAAAATTAAGATGGATTCAGAGACAGATGAGGAATGAGCAAATAATGAGTCCCCTGGCTCATTTAGGGAGAGAAGAATCTCTGAGTCCACTTTTAGTTCTGTAAGAAACCTAGATGGATCAATGCAAAAGACAAAGTCTTCTCTTTTTCTGAGATCTGTGAGTGGGTCAAGGATGTTGGCAAAACCCAGTAGGATCTGGGATCAGGAGCTCAAGGTGTATTAATTCATCATTAGATTTTTCCATCTGTGTTTCCTTAAAAGTACTGTGGAACTCACTGAATGCATTTGATAGAAATGACTGCTTCACCTTCACAGCTGGCCATCTTGCCTACTTTCTTCTCAGCAGAAAGTGATGGAGAGCCTGCTGACCTGACCAGCATTGGCAAAATTCTCTTTAGCCCAGAGGGAACTCCAAAAGCTAGCAAGGAAAGCCTTGTGGGGAGGAGGTCTTTATTAATAAAAGAGATTTCACTAGGCCCAGGAGAGTGTGGGTGGGGATGAGAGAGATGGAAGACACTGGAAAATATTTTGAGGTTTCTTCCAGCTCTGTGGCCTCTCCAGGGGAGAGAGATTAGAGCAGCCAGGAGAAGTTATTGGTAAAGTAGTATAGATGTTTTGAATCTACATGTGAACTTCCATCTAGTGGTCAAAATAAGTACTCAAAATGTTTGGGGTGGAGCAGGGGCAGAGAAAGGAATGGCCTTAGAGTATATGAATAGTTGTTGAATATTTATAAGAGTTTGGTGGTACCCTGTTAGGTTGGTTTCAGCTGTAGACTTATGGGAACTTCCATTGCTTTAAAGGAATCTTATAGGAAGTCTTTAGAGATCAAAATGCAAAGAAGCTTCCCTTTTTGGAGGGCTGGGAATAATGAGCATGAGGGGATTTGGGAAGACATACCTACTTATATGGACCTGAAGCCGGTATTTAAGGGCTCCAGTGTGCAAGGGGGGGACCTCACCCCACCCACCCTAGTTTCGTGACTGCATATTTAACACGCTGCTCCTTCAGCACTTTTTTTTTTTAAAAAGAGAGAAAGAGACACCGTGAGAGAGAGAGCACAAGCCGGGGGGGAAGGGGCGGGGGGGGAGGGGGAGGCAGACTCCCCGCTAAGCAGGGAGCCCAAAGCGGGGCTCGATCACAAGACCCTGAGATCGTGACCGGAGCCAAAGGCAGACATTTAACCGACGGAGCCACCCAGGCGCCCCTCCTTCAGCACTTTTTAATTCATGGCAACTTTCTTTTTCCCTCTCAAATCTCTAATTGTTAAGGAACCTGCTCGGTTTTCCCTTATGCCGGGGTTCTGTTGTGAGGTCCCAGGGTAAGGGGAAATGTCGTGGGGGATAGACCTGCACACGGGGCACTGGGTGGCTTTGTGCTGGGTTCTCCCTGGCTTCCTCTCAGAGGCTCTCCTCCCATCATCTCTGGGGTCGCTGTGGGAAAGGATGGTCAGTTTGGACTTTGGGTGGCCATTTATAGTGGCTGTTTATGAAATTTTTGCTGAATTTGTTAACCGGTCAGATTTGATAACCCTGCTAATAAACTTAAAAATGAAAAATAATTTCTAATAAACAATTGCAACGTCTCAGACTTATTCACATGCTGACAATTTAAATACATTGAATTAAAACATGTTAGGTTAAATAGACATTGTGTTAATTAAGGAAAAAAGGTAACAGGAATTCTGGCCCCTCCTTATTTTCGTTAGTTAGGAAAGGGAATCGGGATCCTGAGCTGGGAAGGCACCGTGGTTTCTCTGAAACGGGAGCTCTGCCGCCAGGTTCCACTGTCCTGGCTGGAAGATCTCCCTGCCTTGCAGGTAGGAGTCAGTCCCGGGGGACTGTACTGGATAGAGGCCAACTTGAATAGCATTTTACAAGGGTTTGGTGGTTAAAAAAGGAAATAAGACATGGTAAGAAACTATATATTTTTTTTAAAAAACATGTATTTTTAAAGTTGATGTTATTTTCTCTAATAATGTATGCTAAAATGGGAGAAAAGATTTATATCTCATTTTACTGTCACTTCATCTTTATGCTACCTTCTGATATGTTTCTAAGATATGGATTACTTTAAATGCCCCTATTTTGTGTAATTTGACTTTCACATTTTTTTTTCTTGCTGATAACATTTTTAAAGGGCATCCAAAGTTTAAAGTAATAGCTGTTTTCTTGGTGAGGAAAAATATTTCATCCCTGATAACCTCCTATTTCTTATCAGATTAGGCTTTCTTTGGGGGTGGGTCCTCTGTCACTTTGTTTAGCCATGCAGAAATGCAAGTCTTTGTAGCAGCCAAGGGTAAGAGTAAGGGCATTTTATTTTTTTTAAGATTTTATTTGTTTATTAGAGAGAAAGAGTGTGAGTGCAGGAGCGGGGGAGGGGCAGAGGGAGAAGCAGGACTGGATCCCAGGACCCTGGGATCGTGACCTGAGCTGAAGGCAGACGCTTAAGGGACTGAGCCACCCAGGCGCTCCCAAGAGTAAGGCCATTTTAAAGTTGAACAGATGAGCACTTGGTGTTATACGCAACTAATGAGTCGTTGAACACTACATCAAAAACTAATCATGTACTATATGCTGGCTAACTGAACATAATTTTTTTTTAAAGATTTTATTTATTTATTTGACAGAGAGAGACACAGAGAGAGAGGGAACACAAGCAGGGGGAGTGGGAGAGGGAGAAGCAGGCTTCCCGCGGAGCAGGGAGCCCGATGCGGGGCTGATCCCAGGACCCTGGGACAATGACCTGAGCTGAAGGCAAACGCTTAACAACTGAGCCACGCAGGCGCCCCTGACTGAACATAATTAAAAAAAAAAGTTGAACAGACCCCTG